AGAAAATCATTAACTTCATCTGAGAGTTCGGGAACTTCTGGGATAGGTGTGAGCTCTATCTCACGAAGTTCTGCCTCAGTGAAACAATCTGCAACCAACTCGTCATCGATATCCAGGATAAATGAGTGAACAGCACTGGGAATAAAGCTTTAATTTATTACAATTATTCCTACACAAACATAACCTCATGCATGAATACTAACTGCTCAAACTCCAGCTCTCTCCCTAATTTATATAGCTCATCTTCGATTACTTTTCCCGACGAAAGTTTCCACATGTATCGTCTATCCATTAACTTGTAACATTCGTCAACCCCCTTTCTATTTTCTTCGCTTAATTTAATTGGTCCCGTCTAAATGGCAAGAAAATAAATTATTATCAGTGCTCAATATACACAAGAAAAAATCCGTATAACGAGATTTACTTTGTTTTTCTTCGCCTCTTCTACTTTATTATCGGTCGCATCCCACACCTCTTGATCTTCAATCACCTCCTATGGTGGCGAGAATAATAAACATTTACAGCTAACAACACTGCCAAATATAATTTACCTCGTGATCTGATATGTTCAATTTATCTCGACTTTCTAAGACTGTTTCATCAGCCAAGTCCACCATCATCACCTGTGACTTTTGTTTGATCTTAGTTCGACATTCATACTAAAAAAAAGATAATTAAGAATAAAAATATGTACAAAGACAGCCGTCGATAAAACATAGCATCATACCGTTTGCAAAGCATTCATTTTTTTCAGTTGTTTTTTAATATCAGCCCAGAAATTCTTAATATTCGGTTTTTGATAATGATCCTATAATATATTTTTAAAATTAGCGAATATATAAGGAAACACTCTAGCACAACAGACCACAACAGTCCCGTAAGAATATCCCGGAAGGGAAACTGTAATCGCCCTTCCCTGGTTGAGTGAGTCATAAATGACCGCTTGAAGATCCATACATCACAACGATCCGTAAATCATCAGAGAAACCGTAATCGGTCCTCATAGTCGTGAAAGTTGGATATCTTGTCCAACTAGATGAATCCCCATACTGCATGTGCTATATATATAGGCAAATAATACAAACTGCAATACTTAACGTGAAAACTGCTGATTAATGTATTTGCTCTGTCTTGAACTTCCCGAGAATCTTGCTAACTTGAGAATTTGATGATAAACACGTAAAAATACGTGGCATGAGCTCTTGCTATAAATAGTAGTGTCGATCACATTGCATAGTCAGAAATTTCATGTGACGTAACGCGATTTGAGTCACGTGCCCGACGATCAACCCAAGATCGCGAGAAAGAAAATATAACTGGAACTAGCTCTAGAGATAGAACTAGCTCGTTGGCCCGGGCTATGCTCGGGAATTAAAGATATTATTTTATATATATAAATATGATAAGTGTAAATTTATTTTATTAAATTATAATAAATTGTATAAAGTTATATTAATTTTTTTTTTTTTTTTATATAGTGGAACCTGCACATGGTACATAATCTTTATTGATACGTTTATATATCCAGATAGACACCAAGTGTCTTTACAGGTTAACCAACGATCGGTTGATACAGGATACCCTTTATGTCTTTACAGTTAATCTGTAAGTTAACATTGCCTAGTACATATATTACTATAAGACTAGCTACGC